GGAGGAGGAGGAGGAGGAGGAGGAGGAGGAAGACAGTGCTGTCCCACAGAACAGCCAGCAGCGAAGGAGCAGCCCTATAGCTGTGCAGTTCAATACGCCAGCAGGAGTCACAAGGGTACTTGTAAGGGCATGACTGAAGAATTCAATTCAATTTTATTTATTTTGGAGACTGGGATCTTGCTATGTTGTCCAAATTGACCTTAAACTCCTGGACTCAAGTGATGCCCCTGCCTCAACTGAAGTTAGTCTTGCAGCAACACACCTAACTTTTCCTTTCCTTTTCTCTTTGCCTTTGTTTGTTTGGTGGTACCAGGGATTGAGCTCTTTGCCTACTTTTGTTTTGGGGACACAAAGCCTCACTGAGGGCAGTCTTGAATGATGCAGCCTCGGCAACCCTACTGCCTCAGCCTCCCTAGAGCTGGGGATACAGGGGTGAACTAGCACACCTGGTGTCCCTTCCTTTTGTCCATCTCTTTTCTTCTTCTGCTTTTCCCGCTGGGGTTATGCTGGGCCTCCTGCACTCAGTGCACATGCCTGGGGGAGGGTAAAGACGAGCTCGCAGAGCAGCACCCTGCTTCTCCAGTTTCTCCGGACCTCTGGACATTGCCCAGCACCCCCAACAGGCAGCTGGGCAGAGTGTCCTGATGGAACGCAATGTTTTTAAGATCCTGAGTAGCCCCAGGGGGAAGAGCCCATGCAAGTTAGGAGAGGGGCTACCCAGTAGGGAGGCCGCTTTGGGGTTAGGACACAGGAGGCAGCACAAGGAAGGGCTGGAGTGAACCAAATAGCAGGCTTGGATGCAGCTGCAGGAAAGCTCCTCGGGGTCAGGAATTTGCCCAAGGCGGATTCTTTGGAAAGAGACCCGGAGTTGGCAGGAGGAGCCCAGGCGCTGCACTGCGCTGCGCTGCACACCCACCTTGCAGCCACTGGGCAGGAGGCGACTGCTTGTACATCCTCCTGATGCATCTGGGGCCACCTCAGCTAGTGCAGGGGACCCTGGGGGCTCCTGCGACTTAGCAGGCTTTCTGGAGATCCCTCTGTGTGCTTGACACGGGGCTGTGGGCTGATCTTCAGCAGGAAGACAGCGGCAAGGTCCTTGATCCTATGGAATTTTCCACTAAAATCAAATAAAGCTAAGTATCGGGGGAAGGCAAGGTGCAGGTCAGGCATTACCGGTTACCCCCGTGAGGCCCTGGGGTTTGAGCCCAGGCAAAGCTAGAAAGGGTGATCCAAGCCTATAATCCCAGCTGTTTATTCCTGAGGCAGGAGGAGGGCAAGTTTGAGGTCCACCTGAACGACATAGCAAGACCCTGCCTCCAAAATAAAAATAATATTTTGTAGAAAGTTCAAATTTCAATGTTTGTGAGTCAAATTTTATTGGAACACAGCCACACTCATCTGTTTTCATGTTCTTCCTACAGTGGCAGAGGTCAAGGTGGCTATAATGGAGACTGTGCGGCTCACAGAGCCTAAGTGTTTACTTTGCACAAAATCTAGGTTGACCCATGGATTAGACAGAAAAGAAGTGGCCCCAAGTGTGGTGGCGCACACCTGTGATCCCAGCACTTGGGAGGCTGAGGCTAGAGTATCGCCATGAGTTTGAGGCCATCCTGGACCACACAATGTCTCAAAAAACAAATAAAAT